TCTTGTTTGTTGTGTTGCTTGTTTCTTGTTTGTTGTGTTGCTTGTTTCTTGTTTGTTGTGTTGCTTGTTTCTTGTTTGTTGTGTTGTTTGTTTCTTGTTTGTTGTGTTGCTTGTTTCTTGTTTGTTGTGTTGCTTGTTTCTTGTTTGTTGTGTTGCTTGTTTCTTGTTTGTTGTGTTGCTTGTTTCTTGTTTGTTGTGTTGCTTGTTTCTTGTTTGTTGATGTACTGTTTTTTATTGTGTTGCTAGAATTTTATTATTTGTTGTGGCTGCGTTGCGGTTATTTGTTGCTGTTGTTGTGGTTCTGTTGTTATATATTACCGTTGTTCTTGTTCCGATAGTTTTGCCAGAGTGCAAAACATTTAACAGCAAAGAACAACAGAAAAGTCACAATATACTCTGGAACAACACACACATAACCTGTACATAGGAGAGAGAAACGTGTGACGACGTTTCGGACTGACTTGTACCATTAACAAGTCACAATGAGAGAAGAGAGTGAGGGTGACTTCCGTGGGTGATCGCTGTCTACCAGCCTAGTAGTGGGTGATCGCTGTCTACTAGCCTAGTAGTGGGTGATCACTGTCTACCAGCCTAGTAGTGGGTGATCACTGTCTACCAGCCTAGTAGTGGGTGATCGCTGTCTACCAGCCTAGTAGTGGGTGATCGCTGTCTACCAGCCTAGTAGTGGGTGATCACTGTCTACCAGCCTAGTAGTGGGTGATCACTGTCTACCAGCCTAGTAGTGGGTGATCGCTGTCTACCAGCCTAGTAGTGGGTGATCGCTGTCTACCAGCCTAGTAGTGGGTGATCGCTGTCTACCAGCCTAGTAGTGGGTGATCACTGTCTACCAGCCTAGTAGTGGGTGATCGCTGTCTACCAGCCTAGTAGTGGGTGATCGCTGTCTACCAGCCTAGTAGTGGGTGATCGCTGTCTACCAGCCTAGTAGTGGGTGATCGCTGTCTACCAGCTTAGTAGTGGGTGATCACTGTCTACCAGCCTAGTAGTGGGTGATCGCTGTCTACCAGCCTAGTAGTGGGTGATCACTGTCTACCAGCCTAGTAGTGGGTGATCGCTGTCTACCAGCCTATTAGTGGGTGATCGCTGTCTACCAGCCTAGTAGTGGGTGATCGCTGTCTACCAGCCTAGTAGTGGGTGATCACTGTCTACCAGCCTAGTAGTGGTGATCACTGTCTACCAGCCTAGTAGTGGGTGATCGCTGTCTACCAGCCTAGTAGTGGGTGATCACTGTCTACCAGCCTAGTAGTGGGTGATCACTGTCTACCAGCCTAGTAGTGGGTGATCGCTGTCTACCAGCCTAGTAGTGGGTGATCGCTGTCTACCAGCTTAGTAGTGGGTGATCACTGTCTACCAGCCTAGTAGTGGGTGATCGCTGTCTACCAGCCTAGTAGTGGGTGATCACTGTCTACCAGCCTAGTAGTGGGTGATCGCTGTCTACCAGCTTAGTAGTGGGTGATCACTGTCTACCAGCCTAGTAGTGGGTGATCGCTGTCTACCAGCCTAGTAGTGGGTGATCACTGTCTACCAGCCTAGTAGTGGGTGATCGCTGTCTACCAGCCTAGTAGTGGTGATCGCTGTCTACCAGCCTAGTAGTGGTGATCAATGTCTACCAGCCTAGTAGTGGGTGATCACTGTCTACCAGCCTAGTAGTGGGTGATCACTGTCTACCAGCCTAGTAGTGGGTGATCACTGTCTACCAGCCTAGTAGTGGGTGATCACTGTCTACCAGCCTAGTAATGGGTGATCACTGTCTACCAGCCTAATGGGTGATCGCTGTCTACCAGCCTAGTAGTGGGTGATCACTGTCTACCAGCCTAGTAGTGGGTGATCACTGTCTACCAGCCTAGTAGTGGGTGATCGCTGTCTACCAGCCTAGTAGTGGGTGATCACTGTCTACCAGCCTAGTAGTGGGTGATCACTGTCTACCAGCCTGGTAGTGGGTGATCGCAGTCTACCAGCCTAGTAGTGGGTGATCGCAGTCTACCAGCCTAGTAGTGGGTGATCACTGTCTACCAGCCTAGTAGTGGGTGATCACTGTCTACCAGCCTAGTAGTGGGTGATCGCTGTCTACCAACCTAGTAGTGGGTGATCACTGTCTACCAGCCTAGTAGTGAGTGATCACTGTCTACCAGCCTAGTAGTGGGTGATCACTGTCTACCAGCCTAGTAGTGGGTGATCACTGTCTACCAGCCTAGTAGTGGGTGATCACTGTCTACCAGCCTAGTAGTGGGTGATCACTGTTCTACCAGCCTAGTAGTGGGTGATCGCTGTCTTCCAGCCTAGTAGTGGGTGATCACTGTCTACCAGCCTAGTAGTGGGTGATCACTGTCTACCAGCCTAGTAGTGGGTGATCGCTGTCTACCAGCCTAGTAGTGGGTGATCGCTGTCTACCAGCCTAGTAGTGGGTGATCGCTGTCTACCAGCCTAGTAATGGGTGATCACTGTCTACCAGCCTAGTAGTGAGTGATCACTGTCTACCAGCCTAGTAGTGGGTGATCACTGTCTACCAGCCTAGTAGTGGGTGATCACTGTCTACCAGCCTAGTAGTGGGTGATCACTGTCTACCAGCCTAGTAGTGGGTGATCACTGTCTACCAGCCTAGTAGTGGGTGATCACTGTCTACCAGCCTAGTAGTGGGTGATCACTGTCTACCAGCCTAGTAGTGGGTGATCGCTGTCTACCAGCCTAGTAGTGGGTGATCACTGTCTACCAGCCTAGTAGTGGGTGATCACTGTCTACCAGCCTAGTAGTGGGTGATCGCAGTCTACCAGCCTAGTAGTGGGTGATCGCAGTCTACCAGCCTAGTAGTGGGTGATCACTGTCTACCAGCCTAGTAGTGGGTGATCACTGTCTACCAGCCTAGTAGTGGGTGATCGCTGTCTACCAGCCTAGTAGTGGTGATCACTGTCTACCAGCCTAGTAGTGGGTGATCACTGTCTACCAGCCTAGTAGTGGGTGATCGCTGTCTACCAGCCTAGTAGTGGGTGATCACTGTCTACCAGCCTAATGGGTGATCGCTGTCTACCAGCCTAGTAGTGGGTGATCACTGTCTACCAGCCTAGTAGTGGGTGATCACTGTCTACCAGCCTAGTAGTGGGTGATCGCTGTCTACCAGCCTAGTAGTGGGTGATCACTGTTTACCAGCCTAATGGGTGATCGCTGTCTACCAGCCTAGTAGTGGGTGATCACTGTCTACCAGCCTAGTAGTGGGTGATCGCTGTCTACCAGCCTAGTAGTGGGTGATCGCAGTCTACCAGCCTATTAGTGGGTGATCACTGTCTACCAGCCTAGTAGTGGGTGATCACTGTCTACCAGCCTAGTAGTGGGTGATCGCTGTCTACCAGCCTAGTAGTGGGTGATCACTGTCTACCAGCCTAGTAGTGGGTGATCACTGTCTACCAGCCTAGTAGTGGGTGATCGCTGTCTACCAGCCTAGTAGTGGGTGATCGCTGTCTACCAGCCTAGTAGTGGGTGATCACTGTCTACCAGCCTAGTAGTGGGTGATCGCTGTCTACCAGCCTAGTAGTGGGTGATCACTGTCTACCAGCCTAGTAGTGGGTGATCACTGTCTACCAGCCTAGTAGTGGGTGATCACTGTCTACCAGCCTAGTAGTGGGTGATCACTGTCTACCAGCCTAGTAGTGGGTGATCGCTGTCTACCAGCCTAGTAGTGGGTGATCACTGTCTACCAGCCTAGTAGTGGGTGATCACTGTCTACCACGCCCAGTAGTGGGTGATCGCTGTCTACCAGCCTAGTAGTGGGTGATCACTGTCTACCAGCCTAGTAGTGGGTGATCACTGTCTACCAGCCTAGTAGTGGGTGATCACTGTCTACCAGCCTAGTAGTGGGTGATCACTGTCTACCAGCCTAGTAGTGGGTGATCACTGTCTACCAGCCTAGTAGTGGGTGATCACTGTCTACAAGCCTAGTAATGATGCTCTTATTTCCTTTTTACTCGTAACATTTTTATAAACCCTGGTAATAAATATCCAACAAGTTGGTTTAAATAAAACACGTAAGCAGACACTTGGTCATATCTTTTAAGACATTCTCTGATAGATATGTCCTTGTGTTTTTTTCTAAACCAACTTGTAATATTAAAATAATAATATTATATTATTATTATTATTATTATTATTATTATTTTATTTGAATTATTATTATTACAAAGTGGAAAGAGTAATTAACATGTCTCATTAAGACGGTCCATAACTGCTGACCAGCAGCCAGATCAGACTAGCCATCTGGAGACCTGGTCTGGGACCGGGTCGCGGGGGCGCTGACCTCCCACAAGCGACTATGGGTAGCTATATACCTTTCTTCTCCCCATTAAACTCCACATATCCCCCACTATCATTGTCTATTAACATGGGGAAACGCTAAACCTGTAAGGGCCTTACAGGGTATATATATATATATATATATATATATATATATATATATATATATATATATATATATATATATATATATATATATATATATATAGACAATTTTCTATGTATTTTGTTTATCATAGTTTTTCTATTATCTTGTAGCTCTGTGACCTCTAGTTGTTGTGGTCTGTCGATGTAACCTTTGCTTCCCACCTCTGGTACTAGTTTTGTTGTAAAGCTTTGGAGATTTTTTTTATGTGTTTTATTGTCTGTGGCGCCACCACGGCTCTGCGTACTCATGGACTGATCGTGTGTGTGTGTGTGTGTGTGTGTGTGTGTGTGTGTGTGTGAGGGAGAGAGAGAGATTAAGCTTTTAAAGATTAGTGTCAAAATATACAATGATTTAGAGTGACAGGTTCCTTGTCATAACGAGAGTGCGTGACATTCATCTTTTTACAGTGACAGTGTGAGAGGTGCGGAGATTGGTAGTGCTGCGAGTGTGACATTACTGGTTTATAATTGTGTATGTTACCCAGGTCAGTGTAAAGTATATCCCTGTGCAGCATCGCAGGAGTGCGACAACAAGAGTGCGAGAGGGTGGTTACCTTGTCATAGTGGTTGAGTGCAAGAGGAGTGGTAGGACAGTAAGGATTGGAGTGGCGCTGGTAGGCCTGTAGATATGTAGCGTATCCTTGATACATGACTCCCGCCATACCCCACTCCACTCCTGCTCCTCTCTGCGCCGCCCTCCTCCTCCTCCTCCTCCTCCTCCGTCAGTCTTCAGTCCTCGCAGGATCGCTCTTAAGTCTTCAGGGCCACCAGGCTCTCTGTTATCAGCCTCAACACACACACTTCCAGTTCGGCGTAGCACACACTCCAGTAGATAGTTTTGACACTATTTCTGCTTCAAGCTACTTCTGTACTTCAAGCAGCCCTTGTATTTCTGTTCTATCTACTGTGGTCTGTTCTGCGCCTTCACGGAATCTCTGTATTTTCTTCTATCTTTTTATCTATTGCACTAACCCGGCTGGGCCGCCACAACCACCTCTGCGTCTCCCTCAGAGCGATAACTTCGCTATTTTCCTTTCACTGGTTATATATTTACGTTTCATGTTTTTAATCTCTTGGGGGGAGATTGACACGTTAAGTCTCACTGTGTCCCCTGCTGTCTCATTAATTTATTTTTCTCATCTTTCTGTTATGTAACCTGTCTCAATGAGACATCCCTTGAGAATTGTTCTGGAGATATATCTCATCACTTCTCTCTTATTACAGCATTTTAATGGTCACTGTGTCAGAGGTGCGCTCGTCAATTGTATCAGATGTTTATCTGAAGCCTTGATAGTCACGTCTTGCATGCTCTTCTTCGGGGAGAAGTTCTGTGCTGTTTATGAGGTAGGAGCCTTCGTCAGCAACTTCTGGAGATGGTAATCTGGCGTCGTCGGCAGCGTTGGGTCCTTCGTGTAGTAGGAACCTTGTCACAGACCGCAGGGCGATCCTTAACGCTGATTTACGACCGCTAGTGTTACATCCCACGCCGCAGGATGCCGCAGCCGCTCGCAGATTTCCAAGATTTAGTGGAGTTTATATTCACGGCGGCGGTATCCACAGGGTTATATGTGGGAATGCTAGTGCCGCATGTGATTGGAAGACCGCTAGCGGCCTTGGAGATTTCTAGGGAGTAGAAAAAGCGCTGGTTATCCAGGCGTAGGTTAATTCTCTAAATTGACGATCCTCTTGCGGTTATTGGCGTAGGTTAACCAGGCTGTCGGCAGGCATAGTGGTAGTTCCCGAGGGTGGTCGCTGCGGTGACGAGTGGGTTAACGTAACGACACAGGTGCGGTTGTTGCTGACGACGATGGTGGTTAAGATAGAGTTGATGGTGAGGCTGTCGACGACAGGCTAGTGACGGCAGTGCCACCCTGGGAAGACGCAGACGAAAGGTTAATACATCAGGGCTGATGAGCGCATTTATGGGGATGGTGAAGGCTTGCTGACATTGCGGTGTATGGCTTGCTGACACCGCAGTGTATGGCTTGCTGACACCACAGTGTCTGGCATTAACTCAAGAATCAACAACCCTCGGTGCTGCACCTCACACACTGTCACACTCGATAATTTCACGACGTAATTTAAACCACAAAATTACTTTTTGCTGACAACCACTTAAAACCGTAATTTGCATTAACTTCTTCACGAACGGATATCGTGTAACAAATCCAGCACAAAATCTATAAAAAATCACCACTATATTTTAAATAATTATATTGTCATTTCGAGAAACAAATTTTAATATTTTTTTAGCTAATATATTTATGAAATTTAAATGCACTAATTATTAATTAAAATAGTATGTATAGGTTTCAATGTTTTTTTTCAGTCCGCTAAATTCTCACTGTTTATAAAGAGTAAATTAATTCCAGTGACACGAAGTTCACAAATTTTTCCCCAAAGTTGTGCTGTGGGTCGCAGGTAGCGGTGATGACCAGGTAGATTCGGATTCCCCCGGATCGTATCCTGCCGTCAAGACTCTACTTTCCTTCCATCAACTTGCTGGAGTGCTCGCGCGAGCCTCTGGAATACCGCGAGTTTTTGCCATGGCTGCCGCGCAGTCAATCACGGGCCTAGAATTCTGTAAGGTGGGTGCCGCGCTGCGCTCCTCCGTCTGGATCACAGCCCACTAATCTGAGCTGATAATGCCTATTATTATCTTCCTCTGGGACTATCCTCTTATCCAATAGTTTCAAGTCAATACCAGTCAACGGTCCCACTGTTCTTGCGTCGCCATGGCAACCCGGCGGGAACCAATCAATAACCTAGATTCCAGGCGGGAGGGGCGGGGCCCAATGAGCGCCCGCCTGTCGTTTGAAAATCTCGCTAGTGATTGGTGGTGGTGGGGCCCGGCCGGCGTGTGATTGGTCCGCGCTTTGTTTACTGAAGGGGTAGGGGACTGAAGGCCTTGATTGTGGCAATATATTTTGATTAGCTTATGAGGTCGAGGAAGGACGAAGAATGGTCCATTAGATCGGCCATTTTGTCGTCATTTCGGAATTCGGCGCAGTCCTAAAGGCTTTGTTGAGGGTGGTTATTGCTCCATCAGGCCCTCTGGTCTGCCGGGGTCCGGGACCTGAGGGTCCAGGAACTGGAGTATGGGGTACTAGACCCCCCATTCCCCTCCAGGACCACCACTGTTACCACCATTCTCTTCCCCTACCACCACTATCACAATATCAAGGCTATCAAGACGTTATAAAGAGTACACACCTTCGATTTGTGACCTTATCAACACAACCACCTAGTACCACACATAAGGGTATATACACTGAGAGATTAATTTACTGTCATAGTGTGATTGCAGGATGTTTAGTGAAGTTCCAGTACACTACAAGCCTCTCATAACACTGCCTCAACCAATAAAAACTACCTTTGCTTACAACACAACCACCTCCAGTACCACAAGTTCTACTGTTATTGCCACTAGTATTATCACCATTTCCCCCATCACCACAAGTTTCCCCACCACCACCACGACTACAACTACTACTACATCATCATCATCATCATCATCATCATCATCATCATCATCATCATCATCATCATCATCATCATCATCATCATCATCATCATCATCATCATCACACTCACCACCACCACCACCACCACCACCACCACCACCACCACCACCACCACACACCTACCACTACCATCACACTACTACCACCACCTACCACTACCATCACACTACTACCACCATCATTGCCACCACTCCTACCACTACCATCACACTACTACCACCATCATTGCCACCACTCCTACCACTGCCATCACACTACCACCACCACCATTACCACCACACCTACGACTGCCATCACACTACTACCACCACCACCATTACCACCACACTTACCACTGCCATCACACTACCACCAACACCACCTACCACAACCATCACACTACTACCGCCACCATTACCACCACACCTACCACTACCATCACACTACTACCACCACCACCTACCACTACCATCACACTACTACCACCACCTACCACTACCATTACACTACTACCACCACCACCACCTACCACCACCATCACTCTACTACCACCACCACACCTGCCACTGCCAACACACTACTACCATCACCGTCACCACCACCATCACCACCACCGTTACCATCATCACCACCACCACACTACCACCACCACCACCGCCGCCACCACCACCGCCACCACCATCGCCACCACCATCGCCGACCCACCCACACCACGCGCCCAACCCCACCAATCCCCCACCCCCATCACCACCACCACCACACCACCACCACCATCACCACCACCCACCACCACCACCATCCATCACCCACCACCACCACCACCATACACCACCACCACCACTCACCACACACCACCAATCACCACCACCATCACCACCACCACCACCACCATCACCACACCATCACCACCACCACACCACCACACCACCACACCACCACCACACCACACCACACCACATCACCACCACCACACACACACCATCACCACCACCACCACACCCACCATCACCAACCACCATCACCAACACCACCACCACCACACACCCACCATCACCACCACACCACCCACCACCACATCACCACCACCCACACCATCACCACACCACCACACACCATCACCACCACCCATCACACCCACCCACCACACCACACCACCACACCCACATCACCACACCACCCAACCACCACACCACACACCACCCCACTCACCACAATCACCACATCACCACCACCACCATCACCATCCACCACCACCATCACCACACACCACATCACCACACACCACTCACCACCATCACCATCCCACCCACCACCACACCACACCATCACCACCCAACACCACACACCACATCACCACACCACCACCACATCACCATCACCACCACCACATCACCATCACCCACCACATCACCAATCACCACCCCACCACACCACCACCACACATCACACATCACCATCCACCCATCCACCACATCACCACCACCACCACATCACCATCACCACCCACCACCATCCACCACCACCACACCCACCCACACCACCACACACCACCACCACCACCACACACCACTCACCCACCACCACCACATCACCACCACACACACACCACCACCATCACCACACCACCACCACCACCACCACCATCACCACATCACCACCAGCACCACATCACCACCACCACACCACACACATCACCACCACCACATCACCATCACCACCACCATCACCAGCTACCACTACCATCACACTACCACCATCAAGCACTACCACTAGTCATCAACATCTCGCTATACATCAATAACATACATCAATATTGTAAAACCCACATTATTCAAAGTGAATAACTGACCAACATTCACAGAATAACTGATAATATTGAATAAATATTTATACACAAGAAATACAGAAATACATAGGTTTGGAAACTGTATTAATCAATGTATTAACTATATCTAACATTAATATATCTAACATAGCGTTAACATATGTCATAGTGTTAATATATCTAACATTACGTTATATATTTAACATATATCTAACATTACAGAACGTAACATTGCATTACAGTTTCAGTTATGAGTTAGAAGATGCTAACTAATAACTGAAGTTTGGCCACACAGCTGTAACTGGATACTTAACTTCCGGTACTTAAAGAATTGAGAAAGTTAAATATGAAGATAACCTGTGAATAACTTGTGGATAATTTAACTTATACATAACTTAAATTGTGAATACCTTAACTTGTGGATAACTTGTGGATAATTTAACTTGTGGATAATTTAACTTGTGGATAATTTAATTTGTGGATAATTAACTTGTGATAATTTAATTTGTGACAATTTAATTGTGGATAATTTAATTTGTGGATAATTTAACTTGTGGATAATTTAACTTGTGGATAATTTAACTTGTGGATAATTTAACTTGTGGATAATTTAACTTGTGGATAATTTAACTTGTGGTTAGCTCATTCGTCACACAAATGCTCATAAAAAATGAGATAAATCTCATCAGAATTTATATAAATTTGAACTTAATAGGTAAGATCTATTAAGTTTTTCAGTTATTTTCTTGAGGCATAGAGATATATACTTCTAGACATAGTCTTATACCCGGGTGCACTGTACCTAGTGAGGACAAATGTTTAAATATTCTAATGAGAATATTTTGTTGATTCGCGAAATCGTAATAGGACGATTGGAAACAAAGCAGAGGACTAGAGGTTAACGCACCGGCCTGTGTAAAGTAACAGTTACTGAGGTGACTGTGGGGACGAGAGGTTAACGCACGGCTGTGTAAGTACGTTACTGAGTGACTGTGGACGACGAGGTTAACGCACCGGCCTGTGTAAAGTAACAGTTACTGGGGTGACTGTGGGGACGAGAGGTTAACGCACCGGCCTGTGTAAAGTAACAGTTACTGAGGTGACTGTGGGGACGAGAGGTTAACGCACCGGCCTGTGTAAAGTAACAGTTACTGGGGTGACTGTGGGGACGAGAGGTTAACGCACCGGCCTGTGTAAAGTAACAGTTACTGGGTGACTGTGGGGACGAGAGGTTAACGCACCGGCCTGTGTAAAGTAACAGTTACTGGGGTGACTGTGGGGACGAGAGGTTAACGCACCGGCCTGTGTAAAGTAACAGTTACTGGGTGACTGTGGGGACGAGAGGTTAACGCACCGGCCTGTGTAAAGTAACAGTTACTGAGGTGACTGTGGGGACGAGAGGTTAACGCACCGGCCTGTGTAAAGTAACAGTTACTGGGTGACTGTGGGGACGAGAGGTTAACGCACCGGCTGTGTAAAGTAACAGTTACTGAGGTGACTGTGGGGACGAGAGGTTAACGCACCGGCCTGTGTAAAGTAACAGTTACTGAGGTGACTGTGGGGACGAGAGGTTAACGCACCGGCCTGTGTAAAGTAACAGTTACTGGGTAACTGTGGGGACGATAGGTTAACGCACCGGCCGTGTAAAGTAACAGTTACTGGGGTGACTGTGGGGACGAGAGGTTAACGCACCGGCCTGTGTAAAGTAACAGTTACTGGGGTGACTGTGGGGACGAGAGGTTAACGCACCGGCCTGTGTAAAGTAACAGTTACTGGGGTAACTGTGGGGACTATAGGTTAACGCACCGGCCTGTGTAAAGTAACAGTGACTGGGGTGACTGTGGGGACGAGAGGTTAACGCACCGGCATGTGTAAAGTAACAGTTACTGAGGTGACTGTGGGGACGAGAGGTTAACGCACCGGCCTGTGTAAAGTAACAGTGACTGGGGTGATTGTGGGGACGAGAGGTTAACGCACCGGCCTGTGTAAAGTAACAGTGACTGGGGTGACTGTGGGGACGAGAGGTTAACGCACCGGCCTGTGTAAAGTAACAGTTACTGGGGTGACTGTGGGGACGAGAGGTTAACGCACCGGCCTGTGTAAAGTAACAGTTACTGAGGTGACTGTGGGGACGAGAGGTTAACGCACCGGCCTGTGTAAAGTAACAGTTACTGAGGTGACTGTGGGGACGAGAGGTTAACGCACCGGCCTGTGTAAAGTAACAGTTACTGGGGTGACTGTGGGGACGAGAGGTTAGCGCACCGGCCTGTGTAAAGTAACAGTTACTGAGG